CAATAGAACAAAAGGTTATCTTAAACATTTCACAGTTTTTTCACTTGCTTTTCCACAAGCACTTGTTCAGATGAGTGTTATGACGTGTAAAGTGGCAATTAGTTTCATTTGTATAAAAAGAGTCAGTGATATGCGATTAACTGTATGTGGTTGCATGTATAGTTAGAGCCAAGCTTTTCTATAGACTCCTTATGTCCTTAGGATTTAGTAATATGAGGATATATTATGCAATCATATGCTAAGACTAGATTGTTTAGAATGCTATAAATACACATCTGTATATATAGAATAGCATAATACCTATTAATTAAGACAATAGATAAAATATACTAATTTCACATTCGTTTAGTATTTATTTATTGTGTAAATATCATCCTTGTCATTTTTATACTCAGTAGTCAAAATATAGAGAGTAGTTTATCGTTCATTTGTTAGCCCTTTTAAACGTATTATCTTTAGAGAATATAAGTGTTCTTTTTTGATACAAACAGCATATTGTTAACTAGTTTACCTTTCAAAGAAGGTACTTGAATACGATGTTTTCTATATGGTAGTCTTATTAACTTTCTCTACATTTCGAAGTTTTCACTTGTTAGCTTTTTCAACAGTCTTATCGATGTATATTCATGCTACATCACGTAAAAAGTTTCCTTTTTCTTCCACTGGAAAGTTCACTTGTGTTTTACCATAAAAAACAGATATTTAAAACTATATCAAGGAGTCGATTTATGTTGTTTTGAAGTTTTACTAAACTCGAAATATTTTTTCGGTGATTACCTGAATAAATCTCAAAAGTACTTTGGTTACAGAGAGAACTCTACAAATGTTTCTATTCATTTTCATGAAGGTGTTTCTGGGAACCTTATTGAAAAAATAGCCAAAATATAATTCACTTTTTATATTTTATATACATAACTTTCTGATAAGTCAATTGGTTGGAATCCCTTCACAACACAGATCACCGCCTGAATTATTATCTAGCATCGGTAATACAAGTCTACCAAACTAAGGACTTCTGTGATAGTCATTACTATTGTTATTTTTCCCTTCGGTTCCTAGTAGAACATAAGGATTCAGTAGCACGCCTCCATTCCACTCTCTTCTCTGCAGTCTTCAAAACATGGCACCACCATTGCCCACAAACTTTCATTTATTCCTCACATCATCTCCTCCACGTCACCCTCGTCTCAGACACCCAACTCGTAGTTTCCCATTCGGCTTTCACTCAAGAGCCTGTCGCGTGATATCCCCAATCTCCTTCTCAGTGTATGTCCAATCCATCTCCATTATTTTTGCTGCATATTTGTTGGGTGATGGGTCATTGGTTGGTTCGTTGCCAGGCACAGTTCATTGTTGCTCACTCTAGTTATTCTGGCCATCTGATCTTCAGAGTCAGTATCGAGTGAGCGTAGGCGGCAGCTGTTGACGAATGTCTGTAGTTTGTTGGAAATGCCTTTCGTGACGCGCTAAGTCTCTCAACCATCACATAGAGGCACTGACCTAGTCAACATTAGTGTTGGAAATCTGGATGTTGTTCACACTTTATGCTGGTGCATGATGCAGTCGACCACAATCAGGAAGACGATCAGTGATAGTAGGCAGCCTTGTCTTACTGCTTCCTGTCTTCACTTCACTTTAAAGGCGTCACTGAGCTGAGCTTTCCATTGTGGATCTCTTAGAATGTGGCATCCTCATGTAGTTGTTGAATGAGGTTGATAAAGGTTTGTGTCACTAAAACCATAGTGTTGAAGCAGCTGCCTGCCAAATAACTTCTCTGTCGACGCTGTTGAAGACCTTTTCAAAGTGAATGAAGTTGAGATAGAGTTGAGTTGACTGCTATTCTATGCTCTGTTCTATGATGATGCGTAGCGTACCGTTATAATTTGATCCTCACATGATTTGTACTTCCTGAATCCAGCCAGCTAGCCTGTTTTCGAGTGGTAGTTTTGATTCCTGCGCATCTTTTTACCTCTCCAGGATGATGCGGCATAATATTTTGGTTGAGTTGGACAGGTGCTGAGCATGATTCCTTACCAGTTCTTGCGAAGACTTAGGTCTCCCTTCTTTGGGAGTTCTCAGATAGTCAATTGGATGATTTAATATTTATTAGAAAAGCTTTTGTTATGTTTACATGTTCCAAGCATGAACATCATGTTTGCAGATTGCTCCAACAACTGAAGTGTTAGACATCCCCTATGTTTAGACCTTTCATCTTGTGTCTGATTTAAAAAAGACAGGATTAAGTATTATTGGAACTATTTATTTACATGCTTGTAATTCTCCGTTGTTTTATTGGATCGAATTGTTTGACCTCTGTTGACATATGAGCTCCTACGCGGATGTCTCGATATGGTCTGAATGTCAATTATGGTACTGTGGATAACGCCTTGGCGTTTGAAGCAATGGGTTTGATGTTTGAGTCTTGGTGGGAATAACATCACTCATTGGGGTGCAGGTACATCCAGCTGACGAGTCCCAAACAGGAAGAAACGCGCGTTCTGGATTCTTCTGCCAGCCACATCAATTAAATTATAATTGGAACGGCTACAGTATGATGACAAATGTATCTATTGAAATATCAGTGCTGCGATCAAACATAGTCATCATCGCTATCATTATCCTAAGAATGTCTATATCCCTTATTAGTTCAGGTCTAAAAAGACTTTTTTGTTCCTCATGTTTTTGAACAAGCTTTTGAAAAAGATGGCCATCATGGCTCCACGGCTCACTGGGTAACACTTTGGCTTTTGAAACAATAGGTAAGAGGTTCGAGTTTCAGGGAGAAAAATATCACTGACTGGGGTGTAGACACATCTAGCTGAGTCCTAAATAGAGGTTAACGGACATCCTGGGTTTCTCTGCTAGCCACAACCAAATGAATTATCGTAATAAATATTCAGGGAATATAGAGACACTCGCATTAAAGCCCATATGCCAAAAGAGATCGAACAGTTCGGTCCAGTATAACAACGGAGAATTACAATTATACCAAGAAATGGTAAGTTTAATTGGTTCTTTGAAATACAAAACGAAAATAGAATATTTTCAGCTAAAAAAAATAATCATGAACGTCTGTGATTTACTTCGCACAAAGTCATCAGCACAAATGAATCTATTATGAAAAAGGTAGGAGTCGGATTGGGCGGTTGAACATGTTTCTATGTTGGATTTGTACATTCGATGTAGCATATTCAGATAGTTCAGTCAAGCGGGTGTCAAACAAATAACTGCAATATTGAATAATGACGCTTCTTATCAAAAAGCTGTAATATTTTCTGAGACATTGATAAGAAGATTGAAATACTGTTATAGACGAAAACTAACAAGTTAGCAGAAGAGGCGTGGCAGTGAGGCAAGACGAGACTTTATGTGAACGTAGAGAAGATAGAGGTGATGAGGATACCCAACCAACTACTACTACTACAAGCACCAATCACCATCAACGGGAGAAATATAAACGAAGCTGTCTCTCTCACCTACCTAGGCAGCATCCTGTCGACTACAGGCTCGGCACACATGAGGTTGTAAGTGCCAAGATCGGGAACACATCAAGACAGGCCTCCAATAATTTGAAATGTGCGAAGGTCTACTGCACTGCATTTCATTGCACTTCACTCAGCATAAAGCGTGAACAACATCCGGATTTTCAACAGTAAGTCAGTCAAGTCAGTGCTTCTATGTGATGATTGAGAGACTTGGCGCGTTACAATAAGCATTACTAACAAACTGCAGACATACATCATCAGCAGCTTCCACCTACGCTCACTCCATGCAGAAGAAAGTGGAGATGGAGTGGATTGAAAATACACTGAGAAAACCATTCAGCGATATCACGTGCCAGATCGGATTCTCGAGTGGAACCCAAATGGGAAACGACAAGTTAGTCATCCTAGGATGATATTCAGGAGATCGTGCGAGGAAGAGATGACAGCTTGTGGGCAGTGGTGGAGCGAGGTTGAAAAGACTTCAGGGAAGAGAGTGAAATAGAAACGTGCTACTGAAGCCATATGTTCCACCAGGAACCCAAGTGACAAATAATAATTAATAAATATATATGATTCCAGTGTAAATGTTCAAACATTTAATTGTAAGTCAAGCTTCCTCTCCTTGTATTAGTGTAGCAATTGTGCAGCAAGGTCTGTGACTGAGTTGATCTCATTGGAATGAAACTACAGGAAACCTTCATCTTCAATAATGAAATTAATCCTATACATTTTATTATACCCTAGTCACCATGAACAGATAAATTTCTATTCAAGAATCTCTCCACATGATATAATTTTTCCGTAGAATAATGTATAATCTTTACACAATTGTTGATTGAAATCATATGCATAAAAAATTTAAGGAAGGCAGAAGTTATCAGGTTTAGTATGTTAAAAATTAAAAGTTAATTTTTGAGATGAATGGAGATTTTTAATTTAGAAATAGTATTCATCATGGACTGACATCAGTTGGGGAGCAACTGAAAATCTAGGAGTACTGGACAACTGTTCCCTCCTAGTATGGCACTCCTCACCAGTACGCACCCACCACCCGGCTAGAGATCGAACTCAGGACCTTCAGGTTTCTTGGGGAACACGTTAACCATTCATCTCAAAAATACAATACTGTATAGTGCTCATTGGTGACTTGCTTCTAGATGGATATCATGAAGCTCTAATGAGAAGCCGTGACCTGTGAGGTCACCCAGTCGTAAGTGAAGTGGATGCTAACTGAACACCTTGAGTGATAGTCGCGTTATATAGTGAACTGACAGAAGTTGGAAATTGTGAACCACTGGAAATTGACCCAGTGGTCGGATGGTTAGCGCATTCGCCGTGAAACCTGAAGATCCTGAGTTGAATCCTTAGCCTGGTGGTGGGTGCGTACTAGTGAGGAGTACCAAACTAGGAGGGGACAGTTGTCCAGTGCTCCCAGATTTTCAATAGCTTCCCAACTGATGTCAGTGCATGATGAATACTACTTCTAAAAGTTAATTACTCAAAAATGAAACTTACCGGTGAACACATAATATAACAAGTGTTATAAGTAGAATAATACTGATTATTGTAGTCAGAGCAACTGATAATAAGAGTCCAATAGTTATCACGGAGGAATTCGACGTTGATGTACTCAATGACTGTGAATCCCAGTTTGTTAATTTGTTAAATGTTGTTTGATTTTCATAAGTTTCAGTAGGCTTTGTTGAAACATATTTATGAATTCTCATTGGATGAGATGTCGTTGGTAGTGTAGTTAGATTTGTCCAATTCTCAAGAATGCCTTCAACATTTTTATTCAATACTTCAGGAGGCTGTTTATAATTGTTAAATACTGGTGATGAATCTGCTGTTATGTTGTCTGATCAAGAAGGAATCAAGAAAAATCAAGTGATTTCAACTATAGATGTTTATATGTACAAAGTAAACACTGAAATATATCTATATAGATGTGAAGGCCATTTATAATTTATTGGTAGAATAATTATTCCATTTGCTGTAAAAGCTGATATCAATGGCCCGCTATAATTTGCTTTAAATGCTTCAGTTGTCGTTGAAAGTGGAATACCTAATCATGATTTCTTCAGAAAAGATGTTTCTCCATCCTTAATATATTGTCCATACTAGGAAAAGCTCTTCGTTCCTTGGAGAAAAAGCATTTTACTGGTGTAAATTTAAATTCTAGTACATATGAAGACGGTTATGAATGACACTGACTTTGGGCTAGCAGAACTCATCATAATTGAAGAAAAGACGTAAAAAAAATCAAGTTCTGAGATGAATGGGGATTTTAATTTTGAGGTAGTATTCATCAAGGATTCACATTAGTTGGCGACTCATGGAAAACCAGGGAGCACTGGATAGCTGTTTCGTCATAGTGTAGGACTTCTCAACAGTACGCACCCAAATCTGGGCTATGGATCCCACTCACGACCTTTAAGTTTCACGGCCAACATGGTGACCATTCAGTCACTGGGTCGGGGTTCGTTGGTTCGCATTTTCTAACTTCTGTCAGTTCGCGATATGGTGTGACTATCACCCAACGTCTTCAGATGATATCCACCTCCTTCCCAGCTGGTTGACCCTACAGGTCACGGCTTTTCGTCGGAGCTTCGTGATATCGCTCTGGAAGCATATCACCCACTGATGAGTACCATGCAGTAATATATCTTCAGTCACTGAAATCCGACCCAGTGACTGGATGGTTAACGCTATCCAACTTGAAGTTCACGAGTTCGATCAATAGCCGGGTATGTATTGCCAAGACTTCACATATTGGGGTGAAACAGATGTTCAGTGCTCCTAGGTTCCCAATGATTCTTCAACTAATGGCAGTACATGATATATACTACCTGAAAATGACATTCCTGTTGATTAGGTACAGATAATAATCTGAAAACATTTTCCGTTTGTTGGTGAACATTAAATCTCAGTTTTACGCTCGATGTTTAGACTCAGATATCCCCTAGGTAATGTAGAAAGAAGGAAATCACACTACATGGTACCTAGCATATGATAATTGGAAGCTTCTTCTACAACCATATCTAGACGTTTTTAACCCACTAGTTTTCCTCAGAAACATTTATGAGGAAAAAGGTGCCAAAAGTATGCAAATTTTCTGACTTAAAGTAATTAAAACAATATCTAACCTCGATTAGTTTACTAGTTCACTGGTTTACTAGTCGGTCATAAGCCCGGATTATGAGCAAAGGTTGGGCATAGGGCTAGCAACCCTACCACGGAAAACCAATCCAATCGCCAAAGAAACTACTTCAAAGCGCAAAGGAAAGATAAAAACAAACTCATCCTTCTCTGGAATCGGGGAGAAATGAGGTCGGTTGGTGAAAGCCTTCGCTAATCCAGTTGGCCGATCTATCTTCTCTCGATGAATGTAAAAGTAAGCATAGGGACATGGAATGTCCTTTCCGCACAATATTTGAAGCTGGCTGGTAAGGCTGCCCAGATTGCATGAGAAATGAAGGTTAGAATCATGTGATGCTACGCTACGCACCTACAAATAATGCAGATCCAGATGAAAAGGAGGAATTCTATAGACAACTGCAATCAGTATTAGACAAGCCCTACGCCAGATGGCAATGTATAAATTCGAATAGGTGGGGTCACATGAATGCCGAACTGGGAGCAGACAACACAGGAAGAGAACCAATCATAGGTGTAGAGGCACCCGGTGGAATGATGAATGAGAATGGAGAACTGTTTTCAGATTTCTGCACCTTTATTGATTTAGTGTTTACAGTCAGTGTGTACAAACACAAAGATATTCAGAAGACGACATGGGTTCCACCAGATACCAGGACATACTTAAAATCAGATCAACTTCATTTCAATCTCATTAGAGCGAAGACGCAGCCTGCTAGACACAAGATGAAAAAGTGGAGCAGATGCAGCTTCAGATCACCCACTTTCTAGAGCAAGGAACCTACCTTCAAAATCAAGTTGAAAGCCTTCAAAGAAGCTGGTGATAGACAACAGTCCAAGATCAAAACCCAGAACACAAACTGAAGGACGAAACTAAAAGGGATATCTCCACTTCAGCCATCAGAACAAAATGAGAGATGTTAAGCCACATCACCGTGGAAACCTGAGTGGAAGAATATTAGAACTCTATGAATAAGATGTGGAAGGAAATCTGCATAACGGTGTAAGGAATGAAGAAGAAGGAAGACAAGACAATGAATGCCTGTCGATGGACACATGGGAGCTGATAGAGGAGGGAAAGGAGATTGGTGAAGCAGAAGATGAATCAGTGCAGTGCAGTGTAGTGCAGTGCAGTGCAGGGACGAACAACGAGAAGAGGAACTGAACACAAACTATAAAACACTCCACTGAACGAAGAAGTGAAGAAGGGTGCATGCAAAGACAAGAGACACTTCTTCCACGACACACTGACAAGTGAAGGAGAACAGGCTGGTAGTAGGGGAGACAGAGACCTGACAACACCATATAAAATAATCAGGTATCTATGTGGGAGGGGAGATATCAACACAGCACAGATGAAGTCAATGAGAAGTAGTGAGGGAAACCTAGTTAGCAAGGAGGAGAATCAAAGGAAACGATGAGCTGACCACCTCAAAAACTCTTGAATCGACCACCATCACCACCACGACCACTACCACCACGTGCAACTCATGCAGAAATGCCACCAGCTGAACAGCTACAGAACTATCACTGAACACAAGCCCTCCAACAAAAGCCAAAGGGAAGTTCTGAACGCCATTAAGTTACTGAAAGTCAGGAGAGCAGCAGGAACAGATGGAATTCCTCCAGAAGTACTGAAAACATACACAGAGACAACAGCGAACATGCTCACACCCCACCACTACTGCAGAAAGTTTGGAAGGAAGGAAGGAAGGAAAGGTACCTGCCTATCGACCGGAAGAAGGGCTACCTTGTCAAACACCCAGAAAAGGGAGACCTATGTCTTTGCAAGAACTGGCGTGGAATCATGCTCCACTTCCGTCCACGCCAAGCAAAATACTAAGCCGCATCATCCTGGAGAGACTACAGGATGCGCTGGATTCAAAGTAACAACAGGAACAGGCTTGGCTGGCTTCAGGAAGTACAAATCATGTGCGTATCAAATTATAACGGTACGCTACACATCATCATAGAAGAGAGCGTAGAATAGCAGAATGGCAACTCTCTAACTCACCCCCTTCGAGTTTGAAAAGGCCTTCAACAGCTTTGACCAAGAAGCATTTTAGCAGGCAGCTGCTTCAACACTGCTGTCTTAGTGCCACAAACCTTTATTAGCCTTATTAAACAGCAGCTATATGATGCTAAATGCCGAGTGATTGATAATGGAAAGCTCATTGATGCCTTTGAAGTGAAGACTGGAGTAAGACAAGGCTGCCTACTATCATCACCGATGGTCTTCCTGATTGTGGTCGACTGGACCAGACTGAATTATGCAACAAACTGTGAGGAGCAAGAAGAGAGGCATACGCCATTTCTTCGCTGAAGAGACCCCAGTAATTTTGGAGTTCGCTAACGATGGTGGTTTACGTCTAATGTCTTGTAGCACAAACTCGAAGATCTACAGGCGAAAACTAGCAAGTTGGCAGAAGTTGCGAGGTAGGAAGGGAAGACAGAGGTGATGAGGATACACAATCAACTACTACAACAGCAACAAGCACCAATCACCATCAACAGGAGATATCTAAATGAAGTTGTCTCCTTCACCTACCTAAGCAGCATCGTCTCAACTGCAGGTAGCACAAGCACAGATGAGGATTTCAATGCCAGGATCGAAAATGCAGCAAGACAGGCTTTCACTAATCTGAAATCAGTGTGGAGATCTTCTGCACTCAGCATGAAGCATGAACAACATCCGGATTTTCAGCACCAACGTCAAGTCAGTGCTTCTGTACGGCTCAGATACTTGGTATGTTACGAAATGGATTTCCAACAAACTACAGACATTCATCAACAACTGCCTACGCTGGCTCGTTACTGAAGATCAGATGGCGAGAAACAATGAGCAACAAGGAACTCTGGGAACGAACCAACCAAGAATCTATCGCCAATTACAACAGTAACTTACTCACCAATCACAATCACGGGGAGTAATTTTAAGTAAGTTGGCTTGATTGTCTTTTGTTATGTGAGGTGTGTTGCTTGCTAGTGGAGGTCTCATCCTCTTGCTAGACGACATCATCAGCACTAACGTCAGTGTGAAGTGAGCTATCAATATCTCTCCGTCAGTGATTTAGTAGCTTGACCTGACGAACTGGTTTGTGATTGGTTGTTTCCTTTGATTGTTGTGTCGTTGACTGTTTGCATAAATTTTCCTGTTGGCCGTTCCTCTGCTTCACCTCTGACCTCTCTGTCGTTTACCATCTTTCTCATTGGGTGACAGATTGCGTCTGTGTCAATACATCTGTTAATTGCTGACTGATCTGAATGCCATTTTTCTAGGAATTCTATGATATTCTTTGTGTTTCCTCTCTCCGTCCAACATTTCCACACTGTCGAAATTGAATTCATGTCCATATTTATCCGCGTGCATTGAAATGAGTGATCCTATGTCGTGACGTCCGGTAGTCGGTAATACATTCCATGTTGTACTTCATTAGGCTAAACTCTGAAACTAGGTTTACTTCTTTTATTCTGTGGTGTTATTCACGAGTAAAGAAGTCACTTGATGTACTATGGAACCCAAATGAAATAACTTTGACTAAATATATTTTATCCGACGTCTTATCATTTGACAGGAGCGGTTTTGTGCACTTTACTGCTTCAGAAGCTCAAACTTACCAACTATCCGGCTTCTGTGAAATAGCTGGTTAAGCCGCCAAAGATACTACATCAATCCAGTATGATTTTCAACAGCTTAAATCATTTTCCTTAATTCTCATTAGTTTGCTAAGAAATGAAATTTCCTAAGTACTATGTGCAATTTTATTCTATAGAATAAGTGACCTAATTGAAAAGTAGTCAGCTGAGTTACCCATTAAAGCATCGGATTCGAAAGTAAACTTCATATCGAACTCATAATAATTGTGATCTTATCAACTATTGGACATTGAACAACTGTTTTAAGTATGTAAAGGACTGATAAGCTGTATAAATTCTCAAACGAATGTGGACATGAAATCCTGAGAAATCGAGGTCATTCTGTATTTTCACTGACTTTCAAGTCAATTAACTTTATATGGTATGAACTAATCATTAGAATTCAGTGACGGAACACTAGAATGACTCGTATATAAGTCAACAGTAATATGGTAATGCCTTTTTTGGTTTAACTTACATTTTGGTGATAATAAAAGTATTGGAGAGCTATACGGACAATAAGCATTGGAGTGTTGAGCTCGTATCTAGTGGAAAAATACAAAAAAAATGACTCTAAGCATTGAACTATGAATAACGAATGAAATGAAGATATTCTATCTGGAAGTTCGTGGAGATTTACTAATTGAATTTAGGTTGGAATTCATCATGAACTGATATCAGTTAGACAAACATTGGAAACTTGGGAGGACTAGACAGCTGTTTCGTCCTAGTAAGAGACTTGTCATTGGTGGGCACCCATGACCCCGCCTCACCAGGGGTCGGACCCAGCACCTTCAGATTCTATGGCCAGCACGTTACGTTGAGCCGTTGAGTCGGAATCCAATGGTTCATATTTCCTACTTCTTTCACTTCAGTCCACGATGAGTTCCAACTTGGAATCAATTGACAAATCTCCACAAATCCCCAGATCAAATTAATCTAACTCTCATTGGTGAATAACTTCGACAGGTGATTCCCAAAGTTTCGATGAGTAGTCATGACCAGTGAGGTCAACTAGGTCGAATATGAGAACAGTTACTCAACGACGACACTGGATGCAGGTTGTGCTGTATGGTGAACTGAGAGAAACAGGAAATGTGGACGATTGGGTTCCAACCCAGAGGCTATCTGAATGGCAACTTGCTGGCCATGGAACTTGAAGGTCACTTGGTTTCGTTCCTGGCGGGCCATGGTTGCACACTAGGACGAAACAGCTATCCAGTGCTCCCAGGTTTCCAATGTTCCTCCAAATGATTTTAGTCCATGATGAATTCCAACCTGAAATGAAGATATTTTAAAAAAATAATCGTAGGTTAATAGGCGGATTGTCTGACAGATACAAACATCGTTTGTTCCTGAAGATATTTGTAACTGAATTCACAGGCAATGAGAACTATTAATTAAATAATACTGCTCACTGGTTATTGTGACAGAAAGATCTAAGATTCAGGTGCTACGAATATTACCTCATGCTTCAATATAATCAAAAAACAAAGGTTATTCTAGGATCAGTGGACTGCTATCAACAGTGATATCAATGATAAGTTCATATTTTGACCTGTTAAGATCGTAAGTTTTTCATACATTTATCAAAGTGTAGCTCACCTCATCCGTGCCACATACTTGGATGGAATGAATTAAAAACGTCAACTTATTTTACTTTCATCAGTTCAAGTCAGCTGATTAGGACAGCAATTTATAAATAAAGCGGACTACTTGCTTCGGGTTATAATATCCTTAAATGAGGTTTTAAATAGTGAACTGAATAAGGCAGTTTTTAACGTTCAGAAATTTAACAGCAAAACAGATAGCATACATGACACTCCTTGGAATTTAATCTTCAAGTACATATGTATGATATTTTCTGGAAATGAAATGACAGTAAAAATGAGACTGCTGCCGAAAAGGTCCGCAATACAAGAATATGCGCTTAACCTCATTTGGTAACTATCGCCACCTGTGTCAGTTCTGTTGTGATTAACTTCCTGTATATCATCGACAATTTTACCAACAGAAATATGAAAAGACGATCGACTGAACAAACTATTGTAAAAACACAACTACTGGCAACCAGTTAAATTATGTAACATCATTCATATTTTACAGTGGTGGTTTTATTGATTTGACGTAACTTCTGAGTCAAATCAAACTCTTCTGCTTGAAAACAATATTCATTTAGTTCTAAAGTAGTTTTTCATTATGAACTGCGAAGAAATAAGGCAACGGATACCTGTTTCATGCCATTTGAGAATTCTTCAGCACTATGTAGCTATGAAAGTGAGAAATTGAGTGCCTTTCCTACGAATATTATGGTAAACATGTGATTATTTATTCACTGAATAGGAATCGGTTATACATCTGTAAATTCCTAATGTAATTCAACTATTGTTTAATTCCATCGATGAATATTTATCTTGACAGGAGACTATGTTGACTCTAAAAGAGTAAACATTTCAGCAGAACCTTAAGAAAAACATTTTCAATTAAGTGACTAGATAAGATTGGTTATAGGTTAATTTGATGATTTGTGGTGATTGGTAAACTACAAAGTACGATGAATTACCTGCTCGATCTTTTATGATATTCAACTAATCGCCAACTGATGTCACTTCTTGAAAAGCACAATACTTCCTTTCTCGACAAGCGTTTATCGTTACAAAAAACAAAATCTTTTCAAAAACCGTTATTTTAAACGTTAACAGGAGACAACGTTGTAGCAAAAGAGAAGTGAAGGTTAACCATTGTACACTGGTCAAATGTAGTTCTATATATATTTATTCTGTTACTTTTCATATGTACAATGGTAAACTTGAAGTATTTTGCTCAAGACAGGAAGCTGTTTAAGTTGGAAGTAGTTTATTTTAGCTAATATGTACAAGTATTTGTAGTACCATAGACTTCATGAAATAGTGACACAAACACTTATGATACAGTGATGGTGAAGATGTCGAAATACATGCATCTAAATATTTTACGATCTAATTCTACGCGTGAATAAAATTCTTCCCTTTAACTATCAGTACAGATAATTTCTCAAACCTTCCATCCAACTACCTGGATGATTTTTACCTACCTTACTCGATAGATATGAGAATACGCTACGATTTCCGGTGATGCACATAATGACTGCTTGTAGGTGAAAAATTATGAACGCATTATGAAGGAGCACTAAAACTGATGCTCATCAGGAAATTTATCTTTTACTAACTTTCCTTATCTTTTACTCACTTTTTGTGTATACTCCCGACATGTCATCTGTTATACACTGACAACTTTCAGTATAGTGGGTTAATGTGAAAACCAAACAACAATGTATAATGTGAAAGAATATAGTGATAATTTACAACAATTAAAATGTCCCACTTTCTATTTCACGTGTTAATGAGCTATTGAGATCGAATTTAGTTTTTTCAGGAATGACGTGGTTATCCTCGAAACTCCCTATATCATATCAGTCATTATTATATGAATATTTCTCCCTTGGGTTCCTAGTAGAACATAAGGATTCAGTAGCACGCCTCCATTCCACTCTCTTCTCTGCAGTCTTCAAAACATGGCACCACCATTGCCCACAAACTTTCATTTATTTCTCACATCATCTCCTCCATGTCACCCTCATCTCAGACACCCAACTCGTAGTTTCCCATTCGGCTTTCACTCAAGAGCCTGTCGCGTGATATCCCCAATCTCCTTCTCAGTGTATGTCCAATCCATCTCCATTATTTTTGCTGCATATTTGTTGGGTGATGGGTCATTGGTTGGTTCGTTGCCAGGCACAGTTCATTGTTGCTCACTCTAATTATTCTGGCCATCTGATCTTCAGAGTCAGTATCGAGTGAGCGTTGACGGCAGCTGTTGACGAATGTCTGTAGTTTGTTGGAAATGCCTTTCGTGACGCGCTAAGTCTCTCAACCATCACATAGAGGCACTGACCTAGTTAACATTAGTGTTGGAAATCCGGATGTTGTTCACGCTTTATGCTGAGTGCAGTAGATTTCCACACTGACTTCAGATTAGTGAAAGCCTGTCTGTGCCGCCATCTGTAGTTGAAAGATGCTGCCTAGACAGGTAGGTGAAAAAAACTACTTTCTTTAGGTTTCTCCCTTTGATGCTGATTGGTGCCTCTTGTTGCTGATACTGTTGTTTGGTTGGTTGTCTTCATCACCTCTGTCTTCTCTACATTCACTTGAAGGAAGTCCCGTTTTTGCTGCTGTCATTTCTGTAATCTTGTTAGTTTTCCTCTGTAGATCTTCGAGCTGCTGTGACATTAGACATAAGTCATCGACAAAATCTAAATCTTCTTCTGGGGTCTTTTCATCGGCAAGGCCAGAGTATGCCCATCTTCTCGCTCATCACGGTTTGCATCATGATACAGTCGACCACAATCAGGAAGATCATGGGTGATAGTAGGCAGCCTTGTCTTTCTCCTATGTTTACTTCAAAGGCATCGCTGAGCTTCCCATTGTGGATCATTTGGCATGTAGGGTTTTTGTATAGCTGTTGAATGAGGTTGATAAAGGTTTGTGACACTCCGTAATGTTGAAGCAATTGTCAAATTACTTCTCGGTCGACTATATCAGTCATTATGGCTGATGAACTCTAGTTAGTGTAAAGGCGTTATTACTGACTACAAACATTTTTAGCATCAATTCATCCAAGCTTTAGTGGATTAAACCAAAGAAATAAAGTTGAGGGCCTGTTTTTACATTTATTCGACAGATGAAGATGATTAGGCCACATATGTTGTGGTGTTTGTAAGCCGTGGAATCAACAGTGCTCTATTCACCACTAGAAGAGATTCATGTATGAGGGTATAACCGCTTGGAATTGAACTTAACATAAATGATGGTTACAGCTGGAGCATTCCCACCACACCAGTGAGTTACAAAGGATCAGTACTGCCTAAGGGTTCTATCCGTCACAGTTTATGTCAGTATATTAGGCGAAAATAAACCAAGATAAAAGATTCAGAAATAAAAAGGAGAGCAGTTAGAACTGGTAGAAAGTCATGAAAGAGGAGCAATGATGAATATGAAGACGCTGGAATATTTGGATATATTTATAATACTGAGATCGATCCTGAGTCATATCACCAACAGCATCTAACCGCCCATTTCTATTGTCACACGGATCAAAACTGGGAAGTCTATATTTCCATACGTAGCTTAGACCAACAGACAAGGACTTTATAGAATGTTACCACGTAAGAGCCTGATTGCTTCTATTTTTTTAGCTTCCCGGATCTTCTTCAGCTAACGCTATGCCATGAGAAAGACTGTGATCTTGCAAGCATAATAAATATCACGGCCAAATCAGCTGAAGAAGGTTTACAGCCTCACCAACTGACTATCTTGTTTTATCCTAAACTCCTTGGCTGACTTCTACGTTATTGATAAGATGTTTATTTACTCAATTTTGATGCTTATATTATCCAGTCATTGAGTAGACCTGATTGTACGGTCTCTATTAGCATACAGGCTACTGTATGAATACCACAACATTGCCTGCATTTGAATTATGCATTAACGATTCAAAGTGGCCTGCAGCAGAATAGAGGATGTGCGTTCCATCCTTTTTGAGGCTCGTCAGCTGGATGCATCTGTCTGTCAGTGAATGATGTTGTCCCCACTGGGATTTGGACTAGGGACAGATCACTTCAAACTCAAGAAGTGGCTATCGTGACTCAAAGGTCAAATGGATAACGTCCTGACGTTTGAAACCATCGGTCAAAAATTTGAGTCCTAGTGAAAACAACACGACTCACTGACAGGCTGGTACATCCAGCTGACGAGTCCCAAATGGGACGAAACGCACATCCTGAATTTCTACAGCTAGCCACTATCCATCATTACGTTATTTACTGATTTGTAATTTTTAGTTGTTTATTTAATTCAACCAAACTGATCAGTCTGTGTCACTAGCATCATTCACTGGGTACTAAGTAAATTTAGATGCCAAGTCCAGATTAAGGAGTAATATGTGTCATAAATTCTACTTATAGCTACCATGAACCAAATAACATTTAAAACCAAACCCAAAGGAATCTTGAAGTATGTGGTTAAAGAAAAATATGTGACTACATAGACAGAGTAAAGTACTGCTTAGAAATCATACTTCATATCTTTTGAGTTATATAAAATTTCTAGTAATTTTTTCATACTCTAATAAAGTTAAAGTATTAACAGAATTTCACAACTTATATTACTTGATTAAAAGGTGAAGTCGTTTGAAGCAGTTTGTTTTAAATTATGTTAAATATTATCTAATTGGATGAATAGTTATCAACACTCACATACTTGTATTAAATATCCTGACTCAGAATATAAATTATATAATATAATTTCTGATTGACTCGTATAGTGTACAGCATCTGGATTTCCAATTAATCCACTGCCAAATGTATTTCCAATCATCTTTGTTGTTGAATCTATAACAGTTTGTTGGTATAATTTCCTAATATCTGAACGATTATTCTTGATATCATGATTGTTTTTGTTATATGGAATAGATTTCGCATTATTATTATTATTATTATTATTATCATTCTTTTTTGTTACTTTATTTTTGAAAGAGGAACTTACAGTATTGGAGTAAAAGGTTTCAGTATGAAATTTTGATTCATTTTATCAAATAAACATAATTGAAATGTGAGAGAAACAGAAGAAACTGAAATTTTGTCTTCTATAAGCTCATCAGAATTCAAAAGATATTGAGAAATATATGTTGATTTTTCGTTTGATAATGAAGTTGGTGATATTTCTGAGTACTTTCTTACAGATGACAAGGGTGTTGATAACGATGATGATGATAAAGAGTTTGAGGTGACTTGGAAAATTTCCCATTTTATATGAACTGTACTCTGATTGATCCACTTATTTCGAATATTCGTAATCAAATACGTTGGCGCTTTTAAATAAAAACAATATATAGCAAAACAAAGTCCACAGTTGAGTGAATTACTGGCAAACATATTATCAAATTAAGAATGTTCAATGTGAATAAAGGTTGATATATATTTAGAATGTCTACCAGTGAAAGCATCATTCACAATAGTTCATATTTATTAGCTGTATTGCTTGTATGACAACCTCGTTGATTGGACCGAATTGATCAGTCTCTGTTGGCATATGGGTTCCTGTGAGGTTGCCTCGATATTGCCTGTGTTTCTAATTATGTATAGTAATGATGGGCAGTGGCTAACAGTGGAATCCAGGACGAAATGCTCATCCTAGATTCCACTGCTAGCCCTTGCCCATCATTGCTATACATAATTAAAACATAGGCAATATCGAAACATCCTCATAGAAGCCCATATACCAAGAGAGACCGATCAATTCGGTCCAATCAACGACGATATCATATAAGGAATAATACTAAATCTGAACTTCGTTCCGTTATTATGGCAATAGAATATTTATACGCGATTGTACAGCTTGAGAATGTTATCACTGAGAAGAATGACTCTTTGTTAGACGTCTTTTATTTTGCGGCAATGAGGACTTTCATACGATTAATAACTGACAATTGTTTTGGTTGTGGCCAGCACAGGAATCCAAGACGTACATAATTCACATCCAGGCAATATCGAAGCATAGAAATGCCAATAGAGGTGGAACCATTACATCCAATTAAACAATGGAGGATTGCATGGATATCAATAAATAGTAATAAGTATTACCAGCTGTACAAGAGGTAGCTATCGTGCCTGCGTGGCATAATGGATAACGTGTTGTCTTTCAAAGCGATAGGTATGAGGTTTGAGTCTCAATGGGAACAACATCCAGCTGACGAGTGAGTCCGGAATGGGATGAAACATGTCATATATATACGTGTATAAACATAGCTAGCAGTTCCAAATAGGACGAAATGCGCATCCTGGATTCCACTGTTAGCCAATACTCATCATTACTATACATAATTAAAAGGTTCACATTTATGTTTTGGTGTTGACTGCTAATAGACATCCTGACAATAGAGGTATACATTACGTTAATTAACTAAACAACTTGACAGAACAAGGCAATACATTTAATGGTTAAAACAGCTATAATTGATCTTTCAATTTCAAGTTGTATAAATTTTGTATTGATTACCGTTTGTTTAGAAAGACTAACAAATCTATCATCATTTAGAAGTAAACAGCTGATTTTAGAGTGATTGCAAGGAGTTTAGAGATTTAGGTATGATCTCAAAACCAAACATGAAATATCATAAGAAGCAAAGCGTAAATCAATATAAAATTGAAGACATTAAAATATCTATAAAATGAAAGTATGATATGATCACTTAGATATCAAAAACTAAAATTCATTTTGAAAAATCAACCGAGAAATCAGTTTCTTTTAATAAATCTCTAAGTGGCTTCTAGGAATGTCCTTAGTGGCTAGTTCATATTCCAGCTTGATGTTAAGAATGACTCTCATTCCAGAAGAAGGTATGGTTGACCGTATAAACCGAGTGACCAGCTGATATTACTGTCAGCTTACGAGTCTCAGTGGCTATGATGTTCATAAAAAGTACATTTTTTACTTGTTCTCAACTTTGTATAAGTTAGTATGAGTTATATCTCCAAAGCAATCACAAAGTTCTTCTTATAATTCATTTGATCTTGGTTTCACGGTTGTTATGATTAGTTTATATGTGCTTCTAATCTATCGGCATACCATGAGCAGTCTGAAATGCTCTAACTTTCATGAAATTTTAAAAAAATTTTAATAGTTTTTCTTACCTGATCCTGTTGTAACCATGACACTGGCAACATTAGTCCACATACTTTCTGTTCTAGTCGATACAGCATTTTGCGCGTAAACATCAAACTGATAGCGTGTTTGTGGATTAAGACCAGTCACGGTTACTCTAAAATCAATGCAAATATTTATATATCCTTGTGTTATATATATATATATATATATATATATATATATATATATAGGAGTGGACTTTTGAACAATAACTATAGACTTCAACCAAGATGATGGCTCGATTTCTCGAAGACAGAAAAAAAAGCGATAAAGGTTTATTGTCCAGTCATGTATGTATAAAAATAACGGTTGCTACATGTTTGTTGATGGTCTTGGATGGGGTCTTTACTTTTCTAGAGAAATCTTTAACCAATCTGAGTCTCACATATATGATCACTTGGTTTATCTCGGAAGTTCGACATACTATGATTGGCTATTAATGCTTTTCAGAGGTTTCTAGGCTTCTCTGAGGAATCTGGAGAAATTTATCGCGCTCTATAATAAATACTTTTTGCACTATTGGGAAGAATTATGCAAATCGTTTGAGCATCTTCAAAATAAAAGTAAAATTTAGTTAATGTAACCTTGTTTAGCCTAGCTACTTATTGCATAAATACATGCATTTCAGATGTTCTGTAGCAGAGGTGCTGTAGGTATACCGGACAGTGATTTTCGCAGCACATCAGCTGCAAACTGAGTAAGAAAATTGTGGTGTAGTCGACAACGCTGTCGCATTTGAAGCGATTGCTCCTGATTCCGAATCCTGGTGGGAACAACACCACTCACCGGGAAGCAAGTACATGCAGCTGACGAATCCCAAATAGGACGAAATGCGCATCCTGAATTCCACCGCTAGCCACTATCCATCAGTACTATTATCAGGGCACAGGTAATACCGAGGCATCCGCATAGGAGCCCATATGTTAATAGAGACCGATCAATCCGGTCCAATCAACAACGGTATGATATAGAAACAATTATACTAAGACTATACCCGTCGCATAAGAAGCTGCTATCGTGGCTCGGTGGTGTAGTGGATAAGGCTCTGGCGTTTGAATCGATCGCCTCCAAGTCCAAATCTAAGCGGGAATAACACCACTAACTGGGGTGTAGATGCATCCAGCTGTCGGGTCCCAAATAGGACGAAACGCACATCCTGGATTCCACTGCTAGACACTATCAATCATTAAAATTATATCAACTTTGAAAAAACCTTCAGTGATATATAAAGTCTTACTAACCCTTGAGTAAATTCATCTATTACAATACTCGTTTACCGGGGGTCTAGATATCTAGATGGAAGACAGCGATTTCCTATCGATTGCAAATATACTGTGAAGGAAAGTCCAAACAAGCACACATACTTAGCCCGGGAATCCATACTAATGACCTGCAACCAATTTATGTAATCAAAATATTTTCAAAGGGTAAAATAATTCACATTAAAAGTTGAGTTTTGGAAAATATATAATAGTTCATATTTTTCTTTTAAAAGAAAACAGTTCAGCAGGCAACAGTAATAATTGGATAAGGTGAACGTAAACTAGTTATCAGAGTATAAGATATTTTGAGATGAATGGAGATTTTAATTTTAAGGTAGTATTCCTCACGGACTGGCATCAGTTGGATAATCATTGGAGAACTGGTAACATTGGATTGCTGTTTCGTGTGGGACTGCACAGCAATACGCACCTACGACTCGGTTAGGGATTGAACTCAAGAAATTCAGATTTCACGATGAACGTGCTAATCAACCAGTCACTAGGTCGAATATCAGTGGTTCAATACACACTACGGTATGGTACTCACTAGTGACACTCTTACAGATGGACATCATGAAATCCTAATTCAAAGCCGTGACCTGTGGGGTCAATCATTTGAAATGGAAGCGGATGCCAACTGAAGAACTTGGGTGAAAGTTTCACCGTATCGCGAATTGCCAGGAGTTGGAAACTACGAACCAATAAATCCAAATCCAGTGACTGAATGGTTACTGCGTTTGCCGTGAGACCTTAATGTCCTGAGTTCGATCCGTAGCCGGGTCGTGGGTGTGTGTACTCCTGATTACTATACTACAGCGAAACAGCTGTTCAGTGCTCCAAGTTTTTCAATAGTCCTCCAACCAAGTTGTCATTTCATGACTACTTCAACATGATTATCTCTTTATATCAATAAAAAATTGTTATATCCTGTCTTATAGTGTCAGTTAAATAGACTTTTATGTACTTTTATGTACACATGCTTCATGAAAATAGGATACAACTTTTATTTTCAAACAACGCAATCATATCAGTTTCTCTGACAACAAAAATAAACAACATCGGTGATAGTCCTGGTTATACTTTGAAGACGAATGAGAAGAGTTGTGAAGGTTTGTCCTGTTATAGTGTGGAATAGGATAACCGAAATCTTCTAACGCTATTTGTACAAGCGTCCACAGATATAGTAGTAGGCTATATCAAGTTACTACAAAAATTTACATAAAAAGACGAAGGATAAAAATATAGCCAGTTTTTCTGCTGAGGAATCTCAAGCATTTTTACTATGTTATAATGAAAGAATGTAGAAAGCATCACTGAAGATTACTGAGAAATTCAGTAAAATGCTGGATGACATCCGGGCAGAATCTACATACATAAGTCCTCAGATTTCGAAACAAAATCTCGGTAAATACTTTAGTAATAGACACGGTGAAGATATGATCCATATTATCAGGATTCTCAACCTTTTTTGTGTCACAGTGATGGATGAATATGGTAGTAACCTATTTATTACCCATTAGGAGATAAAGAACGAAGCGGATGTTCGACTATTCCACGTTAATGAAAAACAAGAAGCACTTGCAGAGTGTTTGCAAAATGATGTACCATTTTCGGTGTTATCCAGCCTTTCTGCATTTATATCTCACGCTGAATGTCCATAAGAAGTTATCAAAGAGTACCAGTGCAAGCCCAATTATTAACCTCAGCAGGTACACAGATATCCAAGGCGGTTCGAACCCTCTGTACTTCGAATGATAGTGGTTCGTTATATCAAAAACAATCTATGTTCAAACAAGAAAATAGACATCAAGGCAGTCTGCAACCCAGCTCTACTTCAGACATTACATCTACTAACCAGCAGGCAACTAGGAAACCCTAAATCCACTAAAATTCACAGTGTCACAGGTAGTCAGGAGAAAGTTATTGGAATAGAATACTGTGCTGCTGACTATGGTGATTCACCGAAGTACCTTATCATTCCGACTAACTATGCCTAGACTACTCTGGCACAAACTGGATACAAGATCTCAAGCTGTCATCTAAAAAACTTAGAATTGGTTAACAGAACCTAAATAGTATTGTAGTGGGCGTCACTGATAAGAATGGATATAAGTAGTATATGTTGAGAGGGTTGCAGGAATCATAGGGAATTACCAGCAGTGGGTAAGGTTTAGGCCAAAAGCAAAGCAAGGGATAAGACAGGCGTATTGTAGTAGATACTGCTGATAAGAGTGTATAAAGAGCAAATCAAGGGAGAAACAGAAGAGGAAACAAAGCACATTTACAAATGACGGATTTATTGCAAGGAGTACCATACGGCAACGACTACCGTTACATGTTTTCCGTCGTGTGTCTTCTTGTTTCTTTAGTATGACAACACTGTTTGTTGACAAATTTATGTAATAAATTCCTAGTTAAAAGTCCGTGGCAACGCTTAAATCCATACAACTGGTTGGGATGAACTTCTAGCATTTTTCCAAATTCAGTGCAATAAAATATTAGAATTTTCACATTTAAAGATATGAGAAATGTTTTAACAAGTACTTATCACCCTATGTTTTTAACCGAGGAGGAGAAGGTTCATCAAATACCCTTCTCCAAAGTGTCAGTAAGTCATTCCCTTCATTTCCAGCTGCAATTTAGTTATTGCAAACTGCACCACAGTACATATTCAACAGAAGAGTATTAAGGAATGATCTGTCAAAATCCAGCGAAATGTTGTTGGCTAATCAAAATACACCATTATGCTATAAATCTACATTTCAAGGGATAGGTGGTATAGTGTACAAAAAGGCAAAACTTCCATAAGCCCCATATGCTTGAAGCTTTTTATAACCAATCACTTTTCTTCGAAATTTCAGGAAAGAAGCAATTGAATATGCGTGTAAGTACCATGCTGGCTGGAGAGGATTTAAATCTAATAGGCCTGAAAATACCCAAGGCCACCGTAATATATATAAACCTTGTATTTTGTATACATTCATGGACATTGCCGTTGGCGCTGTAAATAGACCTTCTGTTGTATCACCACCTTTACTATTTACGGAGAAACTGAGTGACCATAAATGGTAGGGATTTAAGGTATTTTTACACACGTCCACATTTACATAATTCAGGCTGTATCAAGTCACTACATAAGTATAAAAAGTAGTGACTGAAGTTATAAAAGGTTTGGCGCTAAGTTTAAATAAAAGCATTTTTATTAAATTATTAACAGCTTGATAAAACATCATAATCAAGCAAAAGGAAAATAGTGCAGTAGTCCATGCTGCTTGTTCATTCATCTGATTGAAATAATATTTGATTTCGGTGTAACTGTCTGAGATGGTTGTATTTGGCAGACTGGTCTTATAAAAGCGGGTTGCCTCAGTGTTTAAGTCATCATACGGCGACGCCCGTCCCATCCTTATATGGAACTCGTCAGCTGGATGCCCTTACACCCAGTCAGTGATTATGTCCCCACTAAGACTCGGATCTTTTACCTATTACTTCAAACACCAAAACGTTATCCACTAGGCAAGTGAGGCAGGATAACCACCTCTTGTAAAACTGGGATGCAGGAGCTTCCGACTAACGAGCTCTCTGTTAGCAACAACCTAGTAAATTATCGTAGTAAGTATTCAAATACTATCGAGTAGCCAAAATAGGAGCCCATATGCCAACCGAAATCGAACAGTTTGATCCAGTGTAACAACGGCGAATTACAAGTATGTCAGCAGACAGTGATACTCCAACTTTATTAAAACATTATGGAATTTCTTTGGTAATAGTGTAGCAGAAATTGTGTTCACCTACATTTAATAATTTGATAAAATATATGACCCACTAAGCAATTTATCACCGTGTCAGAGATTTAATGTTTCTCACAACTCACCACAGTAAATAATTAGCAGTTCACATTCACACACATATTATTCCAAAAAACTCAATTATGTTAGATGTTACTCTTAAAGGCAATGCAAAATAACATTCCATTAGATAAACCTTTTAGTTATATTGTCCAGTAAGTTCCTAAACATTCAGTTAGTCGTATACCTAGCAGTCTTATCACTTACTTAGTCTCATTTAAATGATTTCCTGGTTTGTATTTGACTGTATCCATTTGACATCCTTGACACTGAACATGATATAATGTTTCATGAAAACCACCTAAACGAATCGGTGAATCCCATGACAGTATCACTGATGTCCCGTTGATATGAATAGCATTCAAATTTCTTGGAGCTGAAGGTGGACCTGTCGATACCATACATGAAACACAAAACTCAAATATAATTATAGTAAACATCATAAAGAATAACGGCACTTAGACCTTACGGTTCAGAAAAATCCAGCCAAAAGATAATAACCTAGTGAAATTGTCTTAAGATCCAAGGTTTTTTCAACGTTCTTCTCTTACTTTATCTCCGATTCGTGTAAACCTACTGGCCGCATAATCTTTCTGATAACACGGTTACTATTTCATTTGAACAAATACTGCACGAATACTTGTGGAAATCCTCACTGTCCTTATTTTCATCAACGAGTACTGGTAATGTTTGACTGTTAGACAGACATTAAAATCAATTTATAATATTGAATAGTAACGCCTAGATTCACCTTACTACTTCTCGATGTTTACTACAACTGAAAATGATCTTTCACCGTGAAGACAAAACAATTAGTATTCTTTATGAAATATATGGCCTATACAAAGAGGCGTCAAAGCAAACAAATATAGTGATTTACAACCAGACTACATCAAAAATACTCAGGCTGAGTAATTTAAGTCATTGTCGTGTAGCCTATTGTTCAGCTTCACAGTATTCACCTACTATACAGATTAAAAATCTCTAACGCTAACATTAACAGTTACAAACAAGCTTTGATGTCCGCTATTTTGTTCTCCAAACCAATGCTTTCATTCTTGTTTCCTGACATAAAAATGCGTTTGATGTTGGCTTCTTTATGCTTAAACGATTCAAAAGGTAGTTAAAAATAGAGAGTTGATGCTTCCCTAGTTTGTTTATAGACTTCTCTTTAAGCAGTGAAACAATTGAATAACCTATTCACAAAAATTCTACTCATTTTCCCCAATAAAATAAGTGACCACAAAAAAAACAGTAGGAAATGTGACCATTTAAAGGAAAATGGCAGTTCTTGCTGACTCCATTTTATTCCAATGCATTGAAGTTGTAAGCAGCTGAAAAGAAAGCCGAAATCAAGATCCATTCATCTGTATCCAGGTTATAACTTTGAATGAAGAGGAAGATTTCTAACTAACAAAGTGTATAATATTTCTCTCTGTAGCATGATCCTTTGTTGTACATCGCAGTTTCTGTTGGACGAATACTTAACAAATATTCTTTTAATTATTTTATTTTCATAATTGAAGTCACTGTGCTTTTATTCATTTGCTATCCATACAAAAATAAACTTTATCTTTGTATCAGCAATGACATCTGTTAGAAATCCTGTCACTGAATACAGATAGTTAGGAAGCTGGAGGTACCTAGGAACTTAATGTTTCCATGGCGTCATTTGCCTAACAGAAAGGATGACAGTGGTGTTCTGACCGACTACCGCAAACGAATCCTTTAAAACTGTGTCCGCTGTCAACCAAATATTGTAATGTGGAGCTGTGAAATGGTCTGTATTAACCTTTGCTGAGCCATGCTGATAAGTGTAGATGTCGACACTCAAAAATCTGCATTCGCATGCGATCTATTTACTCAGCTCCTGAGGAGCAGATGAACTGATACTTACACATTGAAGTCGCTTGTGGTGACAGTTTGTTCTTCCACACACATTCAGTTTTGAGTGACTACTAAGGGTGATTTTCAGAGTAGATGAGTAGAATGTTCTTTTCACAACCTTCGTTAGTTTGTCTTTCAATACACCAGCCGTCATAATATATTGTTGAGGAATCTCGATCATACGAATCTAACTACATGGGATGAGTTTCATAGGATTATTCAGATGCTTTTTAAATTCATAATATACTGTGTAAACATGTACATTCGAAACCGGTGAACACTTTCTGAAAGCAGGCATTCCAAAAAGCTAAGACAGGGCTTTTCCGTGTTTTGAACACCTAGATCGACCAACAAAGTCGATCATGGATAGTCATGAATCTGGGCAAGTGAATCTTGTCCATGGAACTAATGATGAATAAAAGCAGACAATTCGGTTGAGCATTAGATATCTTGCAAAGAACTGCGACTACCATTTTTATTCGTCATTGGATATTTATTGTGATGGAAAAGGAAATGACGTAGCTCCCAAGTCGGTCGTACCCATTTATGTTATCGGGCTTGAATTATACATTCTAAATACTCACTTAGATATTCACCATATCAATCACAATGTACCTATTCTTAGCTTACTTTGATAGTATTATGAAAATACTGACGAATTTCCTATTGTTTATTTTCCAATGATTTCATTGTAGTTTATTCTAAACACTGTAAACATTTAACCAATAAACTGAAAGAACATCTCAAGAACATACCTAAACAACTATGTTCAGCAGACAAATTTGGTGCAATACGAAAATATCCTGAAAGGCAGTGACATATTCGAAAACCAGCACGGGGTGCTACTGAATTTAATGGACATAAACTGCAAGGTTGTTGGCCTGGTGATGATTTAAACATGCCCCTAGGACAAACTGTAGATCAGAAAAAAAACAATTATTTAATGAGATCAAAAAATTCAGTTAGTATAAAACATTACTTAGAACTTTAGGCTCTGCTGTAACAACTTCTGACTGAAATGTGTCTTTATGCACTAATATCAGGGTATGAAATTTCAAGTCATTGGTAATAATCAGCAGTATGAACCATTAACTCAAAATGAACTCTTAACCTTTTAATTTCAAACCAAAACATTATTACTTAACACTTCAGCCAGTGATTAAACTCCAGTAGGATAATATTTCTTATGTTTGGATAGCAGCCAGTGTGATATCTACTGTGAGTGCGTACTTACACCTAGTGTAAATGACTTTTTTCAATTGGAGACTTTCGAAAGAAACCTTGTGGTTCTGTTAAACCACTTTGTTTTTTAAAGTAGTCGTCAGCTTTCCATTCACTTTTCTGCATAGCAAAGTATCCAAGTATTATGACTAACATATATACTCATTAGAAGTAGTATTCATCATGGACTGACATCAGTTGGGAAACCACTGAAAATCTAGGAGCATTGGACAACTGTTCCCTCCTAGTATGCGACTCCTCACCAGTACGCACCCACCACCTGGCTACGGATTGAACTCAGGACATTCAGGTTTCATGGTGAACACGTTAACCATTCAGCCATTGAGTCGGTCTTCAGTGGTACAAAATCTACAACTTCTATCAATTCACGACATGGCGCGACCATCACTCAAGGTGTTTAGTTAGCATCCACTTCACTTCCGACTGGTTGACTGCACAGGTAATGGCTTCTCATTAGAGCTTCATGATATCCATCTGGAAGCGAGTCACTAATGAGCACTATACAGTAATATATTTTTGAGATGAATGGGGATTTTTTCTTCAATTTAGAAGTAGTATTCATCATGGACTGATGTCAGTTGGGGAACCATTACCGTATAGTGCTCATTAGTGACTCGCTTCCAGATGGATATCACGAAGCTCTAATGAGAAGCCATTACCTGTGCAGTCAACCAGTCGGAAGTGAAGTGGATGCTAACTAAACACCTTGAGTGATGGTCGCGCCATGTCGTGAATTGATAGAAGTTGGAAATTGTGAACCACTGGAAGCCGACTCAATGGCTGAATGGTTAACGTGTTCACCATGAAACCTGAATGTCCTGAGTTGGATCCTTAGCCGGGTGGTGGGTGCGTACTAGTGAGGAGTCGCATACTAGGAGGGAACAGTTGTCCAATGCTCCTAGATTTTCAGTGGTTCCTAACTGACGTCAGTCCATGATGAATGCTACTTCTAAATTAAAAAATCCCCATTCATCTCAAAAATATGTACTCATTAATTGGACAATATAAAAGAGTTAGGATTGGGTTGACTGGCTTTATTTGACACTGATCGATGATCAGATGTGAAATGAAAAATTGCCTTGTGACCGAATATAAACTAGCAGGGTTAGGCTGCATTTCTGTTCTTTTCGACTGTTTTTGTCACTTCCGCTGCCCAATGTCTCATTAGATATCGCCTTATTTGTTCTAAACTCATCAGCTACCCGTATCAAAGAATTATTTACACTTAGCAAAGCTATACCGTCACTCAACATAAGAGTGACCCTTAAAGGTCAGTCCACTGCAAAACTTTGATTCAGAGCAAGCCATCGACTTGAGCTACAAAATTTGGAATGTTGGTTAAGTATGACAATGTATGCAAACATTTCGTGATGCAACCGAAAAACTAACAAATAGATTGTCCTACCCTAACTGAGGAACCTCTCTAAGATCACGACTAGATTGTTGAAGCTTTTTAGAGTGGCCGCATCTCACAAACCTACAAAAGCTCTTCCCTCTCTGTCATCCAGGCCAAAAGATACGAGAGTAAAAGACAAACCAAACATTATCTACAAAAAAACTGGAGAAACTGCAAAAAACACTACATCGGACAGAGTGGTCATCTTTTTCGCATCCATCTACATGAACGCCAACTAGCAGTGAAGCGTCATGACGTATCTTCGCCAATATCAATGCATACGGACAACTGTGGACATGAATTTGACTGGGAAAATGTGAAAATTCTGGATCGAAAAAGTACAAAGAAAGTCAGGGAATTTTTAGAAGCTTTGTATTTGGGTCAGTCAGACATCAACAGACATGTTGACATTGACCCAATCTATGAACCAATAAGAAACAACAAAAAACCCTAATTTTAGGTCATGAGGATAACCAATCAAAATAAACATGGAGACACTGACAAGATCTTAGCAGAAAGAAACAGTAACAAAAAGCCACTAGGACAATCTACCAAATAAATTGCAGAGAAGACTTTACAGCTCACTACCGTCTGAGATTTATGCTGATGATGTTGTTTAAAATGACAATGGAAACTACATGACTAAACAGTCCAACTTAGAGGACACAAAATAATCAAAAACCTTATCAATAAGGCCTGTGTCTTATGTACTACATTAAAGCTCAATCAAGATACCAATGAAAAACAATTATAGACCTTAAATAACTTATGAAAATGGCAAGAGACAGAGAAAATGAGAGAGACTTCGAGTGAACGTAGAGAAGACGGGGGTGATCAAAGTACCCAACAAATGCCACCACCACCAACAATAACAACAAGCTCCAATCACCATCAATGGGAGAAACTCAAAGGAAGTAGTCTCTTTCATCCATCTAAACAGCACCGCTTCAACTACAGTCGGCACAGACGAGGACATCAAAGCCAGCCAGGATTGGAAAGACAGCAAGACAGGCTTTCATTAACCCGAAACCAGTGTAGAGATCTGCACTCTGCATAAAGCGTCAACAAGATCCGGATTTTCAACAGTAATTCAGTTAAGTCAGTGCTTCTATATAGTTTAGAGAGTTGGCGCGTAACGAAATGGATTTCCAACAAACTACAGGCATTCATCAACAACTGCCGCCTACGCCCGTTACTGAAGCTCAGATGGCCAGAATAATAAGAGTAAGGCAAAAACGAACTCTGGCTGGCTGGCAACGAACCAACCAACAACCTATCGCTCAACAAATATGCAGCTAAAGGAAGTGAAGATAGATTAAGCATGCATTAGGAAGACCATTTGGGGATATCACGCACCAGGCACTCGAGTGGAACCCAGATGGGAAATGGCGAGTTGGGCGTCTGAGGTGAGGGTGACATGGAGGAGATCATGTGAGAAAGAAATGAGAGCTTGTGGGCGGGCATTGGTGGAGCCAGGTTGAAAAGATTGCAGAGGAGAGAGTGGAATGGAGACGTGCTACTGAATCCCTATGTTGCACTAGGAACCCAAGAAACAAATAATATAATAATAATAATAATGAAAATGGCAAGTTTTAGAAATCAAGATGCAAATAAGCAGTATAGTAATTATACGGCATTAACAATGGTAATTATAATAATGCGAAACAGATTATTCTTATGCAAGCAGCATCTTGAGCGATGAAGCAAGTGGATTGGTTTTTACCTTTCATCGACTACGTTAATCAGCACACCATTCCTCTGAATCTAAATCGCATCTACACATATCTGTAACAATTGAGAAGTGAAAGAAAACTTTTCTACAGATTGATGATAAAGTGGTTAGATTTTTTGTGCCCATATTACCAATCTTCAGTTTACGGTGTAGACAGAAGCTGCACGACCTTCGAAAACTGGTTAAGCTGTATAGTTATAGTATATTTCATAAGGCGTCATAATCAACACAGATGTTTCTAGATATTTATTCAAGCAAAACAGTTAATTATAGTGAATTTTCAAGCTGTAAATGAAGATAGATAACTGAGTGATTTTTAGATCATGTTCAAACCTGATAAATGTCATAGACAGGAGGATTTCCTATTCAACCCACTGGGAAAGTGTACCAAAAACAACTGTTGAACGCACAATCCACAACTGAGTTAAGCACACACATACACATACATGGTAAGGGAACTGAACTTCTTATTCAGATTCGACTTCACACACCCCCCCACATCCACGGTTATTAACTTACATTCTAACCTTGAGTAATATGTGATGAAATTTAATCGTGTCTCGTTGATTTTTGTACACAATATAATCTGATTTGTTCCATTAACGATTTACATTCCCCCAAGCACATGCTTCAATAACGTCACAAGAGACTGCCACTTTACCTTTCCATCTCATTAGGATTTTGTTAATATATCTCGTTTATAAGAAGCTGATAGACCAGTGAAAGATGGTGAAACGGAAGATGAACCAGTGCAAGGATGCACAACGACGGCATCGACTGAGAAGTAACTTGGCAGTTGCTTCAACACTATAGAATACCACAAACCTTTATCAACTTCATTCAACAGCAGCTACATGCTATATGATGCTACATGTCAAGTGATTAACAATGGAAAACTCAGTGATGTCTTTGAAGTGAAAACAGAAGAAAGAAAAGACAAAACTGCCGCCCACTGTCACCAATGATCCACTTGATTGTGGTCGACTGGATTATACAGCAAACTGTGAGGAGCGAGAAGATAGGCGTACGCCGGCTGGACCGAGGACAAGATCCTAGGAGATTTGGATTTTGCCGATGAGGATTTATGTCTCGTGTCTTGTAGCGCAAACTCGAAGATCTGCAGGAGAAATACCAGGAAGTTGACAGAAGAGGAGAGGCAACGAAGACGCGACACCAGGTGAATGTAGAGAAGACGGAGGCGATGAAGATACACAACCGACAATAACATCGACAACAAGCACCAATCACCGTCAACAGGAGAAATCTAAACGAAGTTGTCTCTTTCACCTACCTAGGCAAGACAGCATCGTTTCAACTACAGGTGGCACAGGCACAGACGATGATGTCAAAGCCAGGATCAAAAAAACAGCAAGACAGGTATTCACTAATCTGAAATCAGTGTGGAGATCTACTGCACTCAGCATGAAGCGTGAACAACATTCGGCTTTTCAACACCAATCCGGTCAAGTCAGTGCTGCTATATGATGGTTCAGAAACTTGCAGCGTTACGAAAGCACTTCCAATAAACTACAGACAAACACCATGAACAGCTGCCACTTACGCTTACTAGATACTGACACTGAAGTTCAGATGGTCAGAATAAAAAGAATAAGCAACAAGGAACTTTGAGAGCGAAACAACCAACAACCTGTCACCCAATAAATATGCAGCAGAAAAAAGTGGATATGGATTGGGTATACACTGAGAGGGCCGATCGGGGACAGCATACGACAGGCCAGGTAGTCGAGTGGAAGCAGAAGGGGAAACAACGAGTTGGGCGTCTGTGGCGAGGGTGACATGGAGGAGATCATGTGAGGAAGAAATCAAAGCTTGTTGGCAGTGGTGGTGCCAGGTTTTGATGACTGCACAGAAGAGAATGGAATGGCGATGTGCTACTGAAGCCCTTTGTTCGACTAGGAACCTAAGGGAAAAATAATCATAATAATAATCTCGTTTGTAAGCTACTAATCTAATCAGTGCCTAGTTTACTTTTAAGAGGTTAAATTTTATTACCGACGTCTGCAAAACTTTTCTTTTGTAAACCTCTCATTCTAAGTTATATATGTGCGTATAAGTAAACTTTCCACGATTGTTGCCTTGTATTTAACTTGCTGGCTAACAGAGGAACCAAGGAAGCACGTTTTGTATAAATCAAAATTTGTCAGTTAGATTTATCTACACATCAGTGAGTGATGATGTTCCCAATGAAACTCGAAACTAGTACCCAGCGGTTGAAACTCTAAGGCATAAGTTATTTAACCACTAAGACAGGATAGGTATAAGTTGTTATCACTGATTATTGTTTACCTTGACATGTTTCTGTATGTTCAATGAATTCGTAGCCTGCATCACATACACAACCATGATTTTCTGGTAAACGCCATTTACCATCAGTCATACAAAATGCTAATCCAGTGTTTTTATCATTAATCTTCAATAATTGATTATATTTCCCTTGATTTTTGAAAGTATTCTGATCATTATCAAATAACTTTTGATGTGCGTAAATTGAACCAGGAATACATTGAGCATGAATATGTCTCACTTCTTTATTGTATCCTGCTTCAGTTTCTGGTAAATTTAATAAATGAATCTATGATTAAAAGAAAGAAGTGATAATTAGAAAGGGCTTATTAAAATTGTTAGATAATTTTTTTTGTAAATACTAAATACGGTTAAGTCAACAAAACGATTAGATTTTCAATAGTTATGAATGATAAGAATAAAATCAGTATATGACAGTCATTTACCTTACATTCTTGCCTATTTATTAAACATTTGGTTACAATGAATACCATTTACCTTTTCATGTTACCCAGAAACAGAACAATTGAAATTTAATTGTAGATTAGATTTGTTTATTCGATTTATAACATACAGTGATAGAGTGTTATGTACTTAATGACGTATCCAGCATAAATTATCATTGCTCATAATCATACCAGTGAAATCACACCTCTTTCAACATCTGATTCTTATAATCCGATTACCTCATATTCTTTGCTTTTATTGGTAGTAGACATTTTCCATATCTCTAGTACAAGTGTTGTATCTCATTTCTATTAAATGTATTGAGTGTTGATTTGATGAACAAAAATTTAGTAATCAATCTCTGTATCTCTCTCCACCTAATTATAATAGACTAAAGTATAGTGGTTCTATACCACTCAGCCTATTGTTTGGTTAATCCATGCATTGCAATAACCATATTCTTCTCTAGATTATTGATCTTATTTGCCTCTGTCATTCTATATTTGGCGAAATTCCGCTATTCTAACTGACCTCAATCAACTAGTCTAGTTTGACTTATGTACTTGACCTCACAGTCATTACATGGAATTCGGTAGATCAAACCAACCGATCGGGATCAGTTCGATTAGTTGAACATAAGAATTTAGCTAAATATAGAAGGACAGATCCTAATAAGATCAATAATCTTAAGTTGGAATTCATCATTGACTGATATCAGGTGGAAGAATATTGGAAACCTGGAGGCACTGGACAGCTGTTCCGTCCTAGTATGGGACTCCTCAGTAGTACCCACCTATGACCCTCTCTTGCCATGGATTGACCCGCGACCTTCGGGTTCCGTGGCTAGCACATTATCATTGAGCCACTGTGTCGGAATCCAGCTATCCATATTTCCTACTTTTGTTAGTGGTGATGATGAATTCTAACCTGAAATCAAGTAAAAAATCACCACAAATCTCCTTTTCGAGAGTAACAATCAGAATTCATGATTACTGGAGCCAACCAAATTGAAAATGAGGACAGCTACTCAACGACAGCATTGGATATCGGTCACACTACATTGTGAACTAACAGAAGTAGGAAATATGGATAGCTGGATTCCGACACAGTGGCTCAATGATAATGTGCTAGCCACGGAACCCGAAGGTCGCGGGTCAATCCATGGCAAGAGAGGGTCATAGGTGGGTACTACTGAGGAGTCCCATACTAGGACGGAACAGCTGTCCAGTGCCTCCAGGTTTCCAATATTCTTCCAACCGATATCAGTCAATGATGAATTCCAACTTAAGATTATTGATCTTATTAGGATCTGTCCTTCTATATTTAGCTAAATTCTTATGTTCAACTAATCGAACTGATCCCGATCGGTTGGTTTGATCTACCGAATTCCATGTAATGACTGTGAGGTCAAGTACATAAGTCAAACTAGCCTAGTTGGTCAAGATCAGTTGAAGTAGCGGAATTTAACCAAACGACTAAGTCTAAATTCACCTAAATCCTTCTAATTGTAATGATGCTCACTTTTAACAGCTAATGAAGCTCATGACCTTCCAAATGTCTTACTATTTGCTTCAGGAATAATATTTTCAGCCTTAAACTCTCTTCTAACCGTAAATTTGTAAATAGCATTGATGTCTGTGGTAAAATTTAATTCCATATTAAGTGCGTTTATTTGATTTATAACATACAGTAGGATACGTTATTATTTACTGAATGACGTTTCCTGCATAAACTATCACTGCTTTTAATCACATCAGTGTAATCATATCACTTTCGACATCTGCTTTTTGTGGTCATGTCACCTCTTATTCTTTGTCTTCATTGACTTACATATCTCCGACATAGGTGCTGAGTCATTTCCATTACATGTGTTGAGTATAGATTCGATGAACGAAGATTCAGTTATCAATCTCTCTCTTAACACAATTATACTGGGCTTGAGTACAGTTGCTTTATCCCACCCTATTGTTTGGTTGTGTGTTAATGCATACGCATTGATCTTATTTAGGTCTGTTATTCTATATTTAGCTGCATTTCTATGTTCGGCTAATCTAACTGACCCCGACCAACTAGTTTGACCTATATACTTGACCTCACAGTCGTTACATGGAATTTGATGGATTAGATTATTGTGTCAAATTGGTTCTATCGGATCCTTAAACCAGCCGACAAACTTTATCTCTCAGTGAGTTTATGTGTTTTAATCTCACCCTAATTCCAGCTTTCTTTGGGATCCTATGTAAAGTTTCTGATGTAGGGTAACACCTGATATAGGATAACAGAATGGAGGCTGTGAACTCCCTTCTACTGGTGTTGTCGTTATCATTCGCACTCGTGTGACTGTTATTTCTTCGTTTCTTGTGTGTTTGTACGAATTTCTGAATAAACAGTGGAGGATAATGATTAACTATTAGCGCTTGTTTTGCGTGTTTCAGTTCCCTGTTTAGGTCTTTGTACCGACTAGTCAGTTTTCTAGCTGTATCACTTAGACACTTGATTAAACCTGCCTTAAATGATACTGGATGGGATGACTTGAAGTCTAGATACCTGTTGGAATGTGTTGGTTTTCTGTATACTGTAGTATCCAAGCAACCGTCTGTTCTTCATTTTATCTTTCAATGCAACATGGGTAATTCTTCTTGTTCATTTTCTACCTCATAAGTGAATTGGATTGCGCCTACTACTGAGTGTATAAGCATGAGAAAATTGTCGTTATGTTTCCATTTCAAAGTGTCATCCACATATCGCCACCATATTTTTAGTGTAGGACAAAACGTTTGTGATGCCATGTTTTCCCAACTAACCATGCATATATCTGCTACGTTTGGGGATATTGGTTGTCCCATTGCTACTCCTTCTGTTTGTCTGTATATTTTGTCCTGAAACTTTAAGACTATGGAGGTGAGGCATAAATGTATGCCTATTGTAATCTTATCAACCGATATCCTAGTTCTGAGTCAATATTAAGTTGACTTCTGACTGCCTTTAGTGCCATATTGATTGGTAGTTTAGTATACAGACTAGTTACATCGAAACTAGCCATTTTTTTCATTCTCTTCTATGCGTAGGTCATTAGGCCTAAGTTTTACCTCGTGAGAGTTTACTCGTCTGAAATTTGAACGGTTCCTAATGGGGTATTAAATCGAAGCTAAGTACTTTGCTAGTTCATATTTTGGAGTATTCCTGAAGTCAATTATGGGTCTAATGGGAGAACCTGTCTTATGAACCCTAACAGTGGCATAAATTCTGCTAGGATTATTATTTTTAGGCATTAAATTAAACCGTTCAGACTCACCTAAAGATGGTTTTTAGTCGGCATATCAGATCGGCTGTAGATTTCCTAATTTTATTCATGAATGTGTCTAAAAGCTTCTTGATTTCTTCATATGGTCCTGTTTGGATATGTTCGGCAATTTCGTTGAAGTAATCCAATTTGTCCATAACTATTTTTGAATTACCTTTATCAGACTTGACAAATACTATATTATTATCATTCCATAGACTATTCATATATACATATCTCTACTATCCTTTATGTTATGCACACAGACAACTGTCTTAAATACCAAGCAGGTTAATCATCATTCAGAAAAGTAACAAAATATGTTGATTTTATTACCAAAACCAAAATTCCTATTCAGATAACATGATATACTACTTACTTCTTTTTAAAGGTATACATATAAATAACAGTTTCAACTCACCTTTATTGCTGGACAAGATAAATGAAAGACGATTAATCGATCAATTAGAATACAAGCACCATTATCACGAAATGCTATTTGTAACCATTTCATTTTAGGACGAATTTGAATTGTTATTCGTTTTAAAGAACTGCTTATAAGTTCATTTGTAGGGGACTGGCCTTCTTGAAATGATAATATATGCTCTTGTGTGAAATCCTAAATATATATATATATATATATATATATATATATATATATATAGAATAAAATTGAATAAAAGCGTTAACAAAATATTCCAAAGAAAATTGATCAATGTACAACATTTGATTATTATTGTGAACGATATTCATTTTCCTACTTGATTAGTTAGCTATTTTCATTAGTAAGGATGAATAAAACGTTGCCTCTAGATGATCAGGAAGGATTCTGTAGTTCATCCTATTTATTAATGAATTTAAAAAAAGTGACAATGGTAGACAGGTTTCTGTAGCTGATAATTCCTAATAAGGAGAAACGCATGTTCAGAACTTCTCAACTAACCACCATTCAATCTTCCTTACTCGAATAAAGGAAGTTATTTGAACTCTTGTTGTAGTAAACATTTATATTACAAAATATTTTTATGATAGGAAAAGGTGTTTCGAGTTTATCTTGACGACTGATTGAATGAATTCTGTCGCAATATTTTGTAAAGATGTAAATGGACGGTGTAGCCTCGAATATTTACATTGATCTATATAGAGTTTTACATCGTTGTTGAACAAGATAGTTTCCTACTTTATAATTAACTCTCTTCAATGATTTCAATTTCAATTTCCTAACAGCATTGAATATTTTGTTTAAAAAGGTTTGATAAACAGTAACTAAGACCAGTAGCATTGAAAAGATTCTTATTATTGTTTTGTCTAGACTTCAAATCATTACCGAAATGTAAATACTTTTGACAGTGAATCATTTTTCGCCACCCTCTGTGTGCATATGCAGGCAGACGAATTAGTATTTTTGAGATGAATGGGGATTTTTTCTTCAATTTAGAAGTAGTATTCATCATGGACTGACGTTAGTTGGGGAACCATTACCGTATAGTGCTCATTAGTGACTCGCTTCCAGATGGATATCACGAAGCTCTAATGAGAAGCCACTACCTGTGCAGTCAACCAGTCGGAAGTGAAATGGATGCTAACTAAACACCTTGAGTGATGGTCGCGCCATGTCGTGAATTGATAGAAGTTGGAAATTGTGAACCACTGGAAGCCGACTCAATGGCTGAATGGTTAACGTGTTCACCATGAAACCTGAATGTCCTGAGTTCAATCAGTAGCCGGGTCGTGGGTGCGTACTGGTGAGGAGTCGCATACTAGGAGGGAACAGTTGTCCAGTGCTCCTAGATTTTCAGTGGTTCCCAACTGATGTCAGTCCATGATGAATACTACTTCTAAACAAATTAGTTTCATGTATACTGTCTGAAATTTTTCATTAAAAAAATATTTCTACGCAGCTTCTAAATTGAGTTTATGAAGTACGTTTCGGCATTACTGTCAAGCCTACTTTTTATAGCGACTGAGGCAATCCACTATCATTTTTAACATATTTTTCCATAATATAATGGAAAGAAATGTTTTGCCAATTCATCTGAAACTAATGATGTCAAATGCAGTGACTCATGATGACAAAAACTCTATATAAAGTTACTTTAATTATTCTTATTCACTGATATACTTGTAATTCTTCGTTGTTTCACTGAATCGAATTGTTCCACCTCTAGTAGTAGATGAGCTCCTATGCAGATACCTCAATATTTCCTGATTGTCATTCATGGTAATTTATTTGATTGTGGCTAGCAGAGGAATCCAAGATGCGCGATTCGTCCTGTTTGGGACTCAATAGTCAGTTGTGTGTACCTGGACGACAGTGCGGAGTGATGTTGTTCACACTGAAACTCGAACCTCGTACTCATCGCTTCAAACGCCAAGGTGTTATCCATTATGCCACGGAAAAACGATGGCCACTTCTTGTACAACGGATGATAGTTGTTACTATTTATTGCTGTACTTCTTATTCTTCGTTGTACAAGAAGTGGCTGTCGTCCCTCCGTTGCATAGGGGATAACGCCTTGGCGTTTGAAGTGATAGGTACGAGGTTCGAGTCTCAGTGTGAACCACATCACTCCGTACTGTCTTGCAGGTATACCCAACTGACTACTGAGTCCCAAACAGGATGAAACGCGCATCCTGGATTCCTCTGCTAGCCACAACCAACTAGAGTACCGTAAATTTACTTTATTTCAAATTATTTTTGCTATCTACAAACTGAGATAGACAGTCAAACAAAAAATTTCAGAGTGAACTGAGGTAAAAGGATGTGAAAAAAGTGTATGAAGTTGGTCTCGGTATGTGCAGACATTTAGGATAGTATATTAATGATGGATGGTTACTAACCGTTGAATCCACGACGCGGGTTTCAAGATATTTGAGACTCGTCGGCTGGACGTTCCATCCTCCCAGTGACCGATGATCCGCCCACTAGGACTTGAACTCTGAAGCGTTCGTTTGAAACACTAGAACATTATCTACTAGACTACTGAGTCACTGTAGCTACTTCATATGCGACGGGTATAGTCTTAATGGTGTTGATTGCATATAATATACGAGAAAATGTAGTAAACCTACATTCAATCTAATACTATTTCAGACATTGGGATTCCAGATATACTTATAAAAAACATGATTTTTTATGACGTAAGTGTTTAATTGTCAGAGAGCTTATACTAATCGATGCCCTGTCAAGCATTTACACTCATATCTCAATCCAAGTTTTAAATTCTTTGACATTCCAATATTGAGAAAAGACGCTCCAAGTAATAATACGCTTCAATTGTCATCATAAATCTACTCAATAAAAACGAGTTTTGTTTCATCTATGATAGTTTGATTTCAGCTACTCAAACTTATTGTTGTTCATAGATGTATTTTGTTAGAAAATGAGTAAAACACATGCACAGTTTCACTTCGAGATAATTTAATCCAATGTACTTCTTAAAATCACCCGTTAAACTAAGTGGAATTGTCAAAATGACACTTTTAAGCTTCATGAATACTATTATTATCCATATGCTTTTAGTCAACAAAATGAGGAATTCTATCTGGAGATTTATGGAGGTATAGTAATTGAATTTACGTTGGAAATCATTATGAACTGACATCAGTTGGAGGAGCATTGGAAACCTGAGAGCACTGGACAGCTGTTTCGTACTAGTATGGGACTCGTTAACAATGTTCACCCTTGACCGCGCCTAAGATCGAACGAAACAGCTAACCAGTGCTTCTATGTTTCTAATGTTGTTCCAGTTGATACCAGCCCATGATGAATTCCAACCTAAAGTGAGAAATTGCTAAATGAATAAAAGAAAAAAGAAGAGTTACATGATTTTCAGACTTTAAGTCAGTTTATTGATAATAGATCAGTCCAAATGTTATCTAGAAGTATGTCTAGAGTGATCTGGTTAGAGTTTCACTTGTCTGAATACGCTGGTCTTATGAATGAAACAACAAATGTGAAGACCTAACTGATTATAGAAGAACAGTCGTTGCATTGTACTTCTCATCAGATTCATGATCGCTTTACTGAATTTTGACCCAAACAACAACACGCACCAATCACCATCAACAAGACAAATCCAAACGAAGTTAGCTCTTTCATCTAACTACTTAGACAGTATCGTTTCAACTACAGGCGTCACAGCACACATGAGGATGTTAAGGTCAAAATGGTCTGCTTCATTTTTCCATTGTAGTTGTCAGCCTAGTTATGTGATGTGTCGTGAGTATGCTTTCTAGTTTTGCCTTTTGACTGTTATTCACTGATCGGTATTTCCGGACCTGATAGTACGCATCTGTGATCATCAATTTTACCGTTTGTCTTCTACTTTGTCCAGCTATTTTTCATCCCATTGGACAGTTAGTCGGTGGTCTACATCTGGCACTCTTCGGCAGAACATGCTGATGTAGCCACTCATCGAGAAGGAATAGTTGTTCTCCTGTGGAAGCTTGCCTTTCGGAGAAGTCTAACCATCTTCGAACAACGTGAAGCGTGCTACGCTAGTATAACTTTGAAATAGTGGAGAATATTTGTAGCTCAGGGGTATGATCTTGGTTGTGTTGTGTTTTCTGAGCTACTACATCACTCACGGATAGATATTGACAGCTTACTTCATACTGAAGTCAGTGCTGATGATGTCATCTAGAAAGACGATGAAAGCTTCACGATCAAACAACCTAGCTCAGAGAACACACTACAAGCAAGATTACTTTCGTGGTTCCACTTTGAGTCTAACTGGATCATAACCTGGGAAACAAAGATTGATCTGCCGTACTTTGTTAAATTTGATGCTTTTATCTTGCTAAAATTAGGTTAGATCTCAAAGTTGTCTTCCATCCTAATTAGTGATCTTAGATACCACCTTGAAAAACCAGCTGGTTTTAAAGTTCAGTGATCACAAGAGGTGTAAAAAAAACTCAAATGAAGATGATATTTCAAATAGTTCTTGCTTAATTTACATCATGAGGATGTCAAAGCCAGAATCAAAAGACAGCAAGACAGCCCTTCATCAATCTGAAACCAGTGTAGAGATTTACTGCACTCAGCACAAAGTGTGAACATGATCCGGATTTTCAACATCAGTGTCAAGTCATTGCTTCTATGTGATGGTTGAGAGACTTGGCGTGTCACGAAAAGTACTCTAAACGAACTACAAACATTCCTCAACAGCTGCCTACTCTCGTTCCTGAAGATCAGATGGCCAGAAAGAATAAGCAACAGGGAACTCTGTCTGGCAACAAACCAACCTAGAACCCATCCATCACCCAACAAATATGCAGAGGAAGAAAGTGGAGATGGATTGGATTAGACATACACTGAGAAGACCATTCAGGGACATCTCGCGTCAGGACTGGCCTTTGAGTAGAATCTAAAGGGGGAAATGACGTGTTGGGCGTCGAAAGCTAGGGTGAGATGTAGGAGATCATGTGAGGAAGAAATGAGAGCTTCTGGGTAGTGGTGGAGCCAGGTTGTAAAGACTGGAGAGAAGAGAGTGTAATGGAGGCGTGCTACTGAATCCCTATGTCCGACTAGGAACCCAAGGGACAAATAATAATGTTAATAATTTGCATAAATTTTTATTTTACTGTAAAGTCAAAGGAATTGAGCTAAGCCAGAAT